TTTAAAAAACAATAGCGAGACTATTATTTTACGTGTAGGTATTTCGACAAAATTCAATGGACTTAAATTTTGATTTTGAACACGTAGAAACACTTTTGCGTTGCGCGTAATATTCGTTTTCACAAAAAATTCATCTGGCCCATTAGTCCCCCATAGATCCGCCGCTGGTCAAGGGTGTCATGATTTGTTATTTTTCAATTAGGTGTGCCACTCAATGAAAAAGGTTGAAAAACACTGATATAGTTATTTTGGGACATTAAAAAGTGTCTTCTGCAAAACTACGTTTTATTTGAGAAAATCGAGATTTTAGGTGAAGACAATTGATCACTTTTGAACCTGAGGAATCGGTAGACATTGAAAACCAAATAATTTCCATGTATATGTATTATATCTAAAAACTAGTAGATTTTGAGAAAATCAGTTTTACATGGTTTCGAGAAATTATAGGCCTGCAGCAAAAATCAGTCAAGTGCACATGGAGGATTTTAGCAGATTTTTATGATAACTTAACCTCTTTTATTTTACGGTATGAGTTTATTTATTTTTCAAACAATTTTTGCGCTTATTACTATAATAGCAATCAAATCCAAATTATTAGTAATAATAAGCAAATACCAGCCGGATTAATTGGGCAGTAAATATGTAATGATCCAAACATAAGCATTAGAAGAGTACAAACGGGGCATTTGTCCTCTGGGATCGAATAAAAAATTCTACAAATTATAATCGTAAAATTGTTTGAGATATGTATGTATCTTATACCGTTGACCTTGGACACTTTCATTTTTGTATACATTAACAATAGACAAGAATGGGCACTAATGGAAGTGACAAATCGAAACCTGCTGAAGGTTCAAGGCACAAAAAAAAAAAAGAATATCGCAAAAAAGCATTGAAGGAAAGAGCAGAGGGTTAGCAAAATAAGGTACTGCATAGCCAATTTCTGAAAAAGATTGACGGAAAAGTGGACAAAACCTAAACTTGGCAGTAGTTGACAACAGGAACATTAAAGAAAGAAACTGAAAGCCTTATTATCGCTGCACAAGAACAAGCGATTAGAACAAATACCATCGCAACTAAAGTTGAAAATTCATCAGCTAATGCAGACTGTGCAATACATCGGATGAAACCATAGACCATATTCTCAGCTCATGCAAAAAGATTGTACAGACTGATTACAAATTGAGGCACACCAGTGTTGCCAAGATGACTTGCTGGAACATTTGCAAAAGCTATGATCTACCACCTCGAACAACTGATAGGATAATATCACAAAAGTCACTGACAATGAGCAGGTAAAAATTTTATGGGACTTCAGATTGTAAACAAATAAAGTCCTAGCGTACAATACACCAGACATAACCATTGTCGAGAAGAAAAAGGTGTGGATTATTGATGTCGCGATTCCTGGTGACAGCATGGTTAATGATAAAGAACAAGAAAAAATTAAAAGATACGTGGACTTGAAGATTGAACTCCAAAGATTGTGGCACAAACCAGCAGCAGTAGTACCAGTGATTATCGGCGCATTGGGTGCCGCACTTGAAGCAAATCAACATTGACAAAATTAACATCTGTCAACTTCAAAAAGGTGCGTGGGTCTGCGAACATTCTACGCCATTACATTACGACATCCTAGATTCTTGAGAAGAACCCGATGCGAATGTTACTCAACACCAACATGTGATCTGTTTGTTGTGATTCATCCAATAGAAATAAATCAATAACAATAATAATAAATCACATACATTATAGACATATCCATTCCAAACACTCACAATGTACAAAACACGTGCAAAAAATCAACAGGTACACAGAACTCGCCCAGGAAATAAGGCATCTGTGGAGGATGGATAGGGTGCTTATTGTACTGTACCCATCATTCTCTCCTTTATAGGTAGTATACCCCATACACTACACAAAAGCCTGGGAACATTATAGTTGAATAGAAACACATACATCATACTATAGAAAGCTACTATATTGAATACATGTCATATTGTTAGGAAAATTCTGAATACAGACACACACACTGACACACCTATTTAATTTTTGTTTTGTTTTATTTTGGTTGCTATGCCTTGACTCTGGTCGGGCATAGTACACAGCAACCAGTGTCAACCGAGTATAACTCACTAAACCCAATATAATAATTCTGTAATTGTATTATTTCATTTAGAATGTTATAAAAGCACTAAAAAAACTAACGTATTTTTTAATCTAAATATTTTAGTTTCTCTACTTTAAAAACAGTTTCTCCTCTATTAACTATTTTTCAAGTATCTTATATCTTTAAATGCGTTTTTCTCAATTTTAATATTTCTGCAATAAACCCACGATAGGATCTTTCTGTACAAAATTTTAGAATTAAATTACGTTATTCTTTAAAATGTTTTATAAAAATAAAACAATAACTCTTTAAATATATATCTTTTCTCAAATAAACAGTACCTTTTTAAATTTAAATAATTATTTTAGTTAATTTAAATTTGGTATGAGTATTAAATGAAATGTAACTAAACACTATTACTGTAATAATTTTTAGGAATTAAGAATTTTGTTTTCTTAAAAAGTATTCTTTTCGACTAACATTTTACACTTCTTTAGTTACTCAACTTTAAATTTATTACGGTAAATAACTACAATTACTCTATTTGTGGTCGGATAATACATGAAGATATACAATACATTGTATATTAAATTTTTAATGAATCGAAAACATATTTATCCCGCTACATTTTATTCATATCGATAAAATATAAGCTTATCAGTTATTATGATAACCTTTTTCTTATGTGAACAGAAGCACTCAATAGACGATTCAACAAACGAGGTTAATAAAAGTCTAATAGAGTTAACCCTTTATCAGTAGTGGAATGCTATTGTAGTCTGATTAAGTAAATGCATTTTCGCTACTTTATCATATCATTCTGTAAGTATGCTAAATAAATAAAATCCTTTGATTTTCTGTTTTCAAAATAGCTATTTAGATCGATAAACAAATTTTGAAAGCGGTTAAAACATATACACAACGAAAAAGAAAAAAAAAACATATGTTTAATATTGATTAAATATTACTTTAAATAGATTAAGCTTAGACATAGATTAACACATATGATTAAATCTAGATAATTAATCTATGTGTTATGCATTTTATCTCACATTTGAAGTAGTTTTTATTGCTCTATTTCTAAAATAATACAAATGGTATTTAATTTTTTTTTGGTATGAGAATAAATAATAGATGTTTGTTATCACCCTTTTTATGAATAATGTATAATATTTTTATATTTTGTTTTTAAATTATGCACATGACAGAAGATAAAAACATAGTTGTTGATAACAAAATATCTGATGAATAATGATTACTACAGCAAAAACAATAAATTATATAACACTATTTCAGAATTTTCATTCTCTTTACATTATAAATAGAATATATGTTCGTTAATATAAACAAATTGATACGACTGGATACACGCATGTGGTATGTTTACAAAATAAAAGCATTTTCAAGAAGAAATGTCATATATGCCACTGTAAAATATTAACATTATTAAAATTTAACATTTTATTGTGAACATTTTTTAATGTGTTCTATTGGGTCTATATAAAACTAAGAAATATATGAAAATTAGTATATATGTGTAATAAATATATATATATCTAAAAATTAATGAAATGGTTAGATGAAGTCATACATTTATCAACGGATAAAATATAATTTTATTTACAATGCTGGAAGCAAATTATATATATATTTATAATCATTCTAAATGCCTAGATAAGTGTAATTAAAATTATTTAAATATTTACAAATAATATATTATTCAACTCTATCATATAAATGTTTCTTTAAAATTTTAAAAATATTAGTAATGGCGAGCTACAATCAACGTATTTGAGAGAGACAATCATTTAACCAGCGGAAGTTTATGGCAAATTTTGTTAATCCTAATTGTCGGATATTTATATATTTTTATACATCTTGTTAATTATTTATCAGTAATTCTCTTTCAAAATTTCATAAAGATTTGTATATAAACAGAAATTGTGCAAACTGATGGATGGATACTGCAAAATTGATGAAAAATTTAATAACGAAAGTGCTGAAAATATTTATTAAATATTATATTATTGCATACTGTTATTGCTCCTGAAAGTGTAATAAATAAACTATAATCTTTTCGAGTATTTTATATATTATTTTGCTCTTAATTTAAGAAATTCTCAAGTGCAATAATCGTCTTCGTTACAATAAAATAATTTAAAATAAAATTCCTCAAAACTAATGTTCAATTCATTGTATTTTCGAATTAAAGCCAAATAAGTTTATTTTTATTAAAATAAAAAAAATAAATTTATAATAACATCATTTTCTATAAGATGAAGGTCAAGATCATAAATTCAAATACATTTGAAAGAATTTGAAAAATTTAGAGCATGCGCCGTAATAAGACCGTTGATCAATAACCATAAAATAAAGCGTATTTTACGAAAACTTTTGAAATAATTATTTAAAAATTATTACGAACATTTTAAAATTCATAATTGTTTAAAATAAATAACAATTATCCAATGTTCGGAATAGTTGTAGACACTTACGTAATAGCAATATACTGTTATTAAAAAAAATTTCAATTGTTTATTTTAAAGAACGTCTTACGTAAAATAATAAATTTTAATAAATAATTCATTTAAATTCGGTGTTTTATTTATTTCAAACTATTTTAAATTGTATACGTAAGAAACACGTGCATTTCGAAAATATTGAATCCTATCGTACCTGAATGAAACAAAGAATATCGAAAGTAAAAATTTTTGAGAAGTTTAAACTTCATAAATACGAAATTTGCAAAAATAAAACAAAATTTAATTTTTTTAACAATTAAAAAATATTATAAAATTTACATTACGTTTCCCTCCCCCCCAATGAAATTTCGTATATCGATTTCCCGAAAGATCTTAAGTGCGGAACTATTTTCGTGATGACGTCAACGATGAGAGAAAACATGGCGACAGTTTGGCAACCCCAAGAAGACGGTTTGAGACAAATATTAAAATTATTAAAAGAATCGCAATCACCGGATACAGCAACTCAGAGAATAGTGCAGCAAGTATCCTTATTTCGATTAAAATTTCTAATTTACGTTTAATTTATTATTTTATTAACACGATTACAAGTTGTTTAGGTAATGGCAGAGTTAGGCTTAATCGATCCGGTTTCGAAAATACGTTTATTGAAATTGATGTTGTTTGAATTTGTTTATTACGTGCATTCGTTAAAGAAATTGGAAAATATTCGAGTATTTTATATATTTAAATTAATTTATATATTAAAAATGTGTTTAGATGAGTTTATTATGTGACAGTTCTAAGCCGATCGCTTTTTTTTTCTTTTTTTGTTGTTTTTTTTAATCAATTTTTAAGTGTTACTCTGGTGTTCGATTTGTGTTAAAATATGTTAACGTTTAATTGTTACGTAATTGATTAATTTGCATAAATTTTATCACGTGATTTATATAAAAATTGTTTTAATTTCATTTATTTATTGTTGGAATAGATTTTAGTAAATTTCAGTACGAACAAGATGCGTGATTATTCATAATTTGAATTCCTTTAAGTTATTCTTTGTTTTACTGACCGACCGACTTGATAATATCCAGAAATTTTATTCTTATTAGCTATGGCTATTAGTTTTCGACTTATTGCATCACGTTTTTTAAGAATTTTTGGCTTTTTTCTCTTTATTTTATAATAAATTCTAATTCCAGTATGTACATTTTGTACTTTCCCCCCTCTTTGGTTGGAGTAAACCTTTCAAATTATTGTTTTAAATGTATTACTCCAACTGAAAAGGGGAAAAACCCGAATTTTACATATTGGAGTTGGAATTTTTTACAAAATAGAGAAAAAAGCCCAGTCAGTATTCCTAAAAAAAGTGTGATAAGTCCAAAACTAATAGCCAATGATACATAGTTATATAAGAATAAAATACAAAGAAAAAAGGACAAGAAGATGTAATAATAAATATCCAGAAATTGCAAAGATATCTCTATACATGAAAATTAATATATATTATATAAATATGAAATCAGTACTACTACTACTTCATTTTTGTCTTTTCCTATGTTTATATGGAGTTAGCGTTTCCTTCTCTAATATGTTTCCTCCATTTCTTCTTATCGAGGGCATCTTCTCTCTTAAGTCCCCTCTGATTCAAGTCTTCCTCCACCTTATCTTTCCAACACAGCCTTGGTCTTCCTCTCTTCCTCCTTCCTTTCACTACCAGTTTTCCAACCCTCTTTCCAACAAAATCTTCAAAATTTTCTATTCTGGAAATCAGTACTATTTTGATTTTAAAAAATTATAATGCAGATTTTCCTATTTGAAATCTGCCATTAGTTTTAAAAAGTATTTAAAAATTAAGTGTATTAGGTCTGCTTTTACAATAAAAAAGATTGGATATAAATTTAAATTGATTGAGAAATTTAATAAATCAGATTTATACTGTAATATATATTTATGACAATCAATCATAAAAAAAGAAAAAATATTTCTTAAGTTCTTACTTTGCTATTCTATATCATTGTTCATTTCTTTAAAAGTTTAAACTAAATAGATTTGAAAGTGAGTTGAATTCTTGCTTTTAAGAAGATAGAATTTTGTAGTAGTATTCATAAATTTATTTATAGTTTGTGGTTTTTGGAGATTCTAGATGGTGATGGAGTTTTCCAAATATTGTATGTGTGGTTTCTGTTGAATATATTATTATTTAAAAATAACTTAAGTGTTAAAATAAATCATTAAAAATTAATCAGTTTTCTAGTTTCAGATGGTTTACCTATTGACCAAATGTATTTTATTGCTTTATAAATTATCACAATCAAATGATAATTTAGTTAACTTGATATGGCATAAAAATGAAAAATTATGCAAGCATAAAGGAATGTTTTTTTGAAAAAAATTCCTTCTTGATCTACACTGTATTAGGAATTTAGTTGCTGAAAATGGGGTCTTAAAAATGAGGAGTTCTATGGAATAAGCTTCCTGTGTACTTCGATATCTTTTTCACTTTTGTGTTTTATTATTACATCAAGTAGGGTTTTATGGATACAGATATTCTTGCTGTAATATGCACTTTACTCAGGCATATTAAATTTCATAATAAAACTCATGGAAAAAGCAGTTTTTTTAGAATTTCTGAAAACAAAAATTTAATTTAGATGCCTTATTCCATAGAACTCATCATTTAATAAAAAGTTATGACTGTATTTTATAAACTGAATGCTCTATTCTGGAAAATTTCAAAGTTGTCTAACCAATAAACTATTATCAATAAATTTCCAGATATATAAAATCTAAAATGCATTATTTGGCATTAAAGATGCAGATTGTAAAAATTATATCTACTGTTTTCATAAGAAATATAAACTTTAGTAGCTGTATTGACAATTTCAATGAACTATAGTGTGTGCTGAATAAATTTAAAATGGAATATATAACTGAGCAAGTTTGTTTACATTGACATTAAATGATGTTTAATTTTTATTAATCAGATATAAAGTTAAAGGTTACCTTTATTTGAAAAAAGGTGAAAGTATAGTGAACATAAATTATATTGGTCAAATTTTAAGAAAATAGTTTGGCTAATATTATTCTTACTGAATCATGTTTGTAATCTTCAGCATTTATTTCTCATCTTAGAATCAGTTTTACTTTTACTTTTAAAAAAGAAAATTTAACAAAAATAGTTGTAAAGGATTACAAATGTGTTTGTGTTGCTGATACGTCATAAAAATCCAAATGCTACATTTGTACATTATTTTTGTTTGCTTTCTGGATAGTTGCAGTTTAATATAGGATCAAAATTTACTTTTATAAGAGTAAATTTTGATTCTATATTAAACTGCAAGCCTAAGATATTTCAAGATCAAAATTTAATGTATACAAATAATAATTGTATAACACAAAACTTTGATAACATGGTTTACTCTAATGCTGTTAGAGTTATAGCAAAATTGTCATAACACAATAGTTCTGTGCTTTTGTTTGGGAAAAGCCTTACTTTTAGATGTAAATATTTGACATTTCCATTCTTTTTTGTGAATATCTGTTATTGATTCTCTATTGGTTAAAAAAACTAACAAAACAGTATTGGTAAATTCTAATACTTAATTGACAAATCCCTGTTAGGTTCTGCACTACTGAACTTGTTTGAGACAGATAAATGTTGTGACTTTAGATTTTATTTAAGTTATTTTGAGTTTTATTTAATCAATTATTATTTTTTTGGCTATATATCACAACTTAAGAATTGTATTGGAATAATTTCTTTGTTATGAATTAAATTCCAGTCCTAAATTATGCCTAATGAAAGAATCCTCTTTTGCATACATTAGATACATTCTCTTTTGCAGTCAAAAGAGAATGTATCTTTTATTCTAGAGAAATGAATTTTGGATTGCCTTGAAAAAGGAGAAAAGATAATATATATTGCCAAAAGTTTAAATTTAAAAGAAGCAACTATCTAGATCATAAATTATAATGAATAGAAAATTAAAAACTGTTGTTAATTAATTAATGCAGGATCTCATTTTGCAAATTTGATTGATTATTGTTATCTTTTGGAATGTAATCCTTCTTTTCATATTGGTATTTAGTCCTTTATAATATGGTTTCACATAACCTACATGGGATTTTATATTATACCAGGTTGCCTGTATTTAGAATTGGATTTGAATCTTTGAATAAATTAAGTTGTATTGATGTCAGAAGTGCTTGGTGAGTCTTTGGAATAATTTTTAAAATAATTATTACACAGTCAGTGTTTTAAAATATTTATATAGTGTAAATAAATATAAAGCATTATGAAAATTTACTACAAGACTTGTTTTCTTAAATGCCCCTTGTTTTCATGGGAAATGATACAAGGGATAATGTATGCTAGCTAGTTGTATATTGTGGTGTGTGGCAATAATGTTTAAAACTTCAACAATTGTAAATTCTTAAATCACATACTAATTAGAATTTTTCCACCAGAGTGATTAATTTGGTTTGGATCACACATTGTGACAATAAATTCTTTTAATCCTGAAAAAAAATGAAATCTTAGAATTTGAAATAAAATTGCAGTCAAAGTAAAATTAAAATCTTTAAAGATTAATCCAATTTTCATAAATTTTAATTTAAATAAAGGAATATTTTACTGATCATTTATTGTCTTTTCATAAGCTTTTGAAAATTGTATCAGTAAAATTCTGTCAATTGAAAATATAGTACAGGTATACGTTGCCTTACATCAGTAATTGGTTCCAGGAGAGGCGACATAAGTCGAATTTACTTGTCTCTGAATCTACTTGTCATTAGGCTNAACACTTTTGCGTTGCGCGTAATATTCGTTTTCACAAAAAATTCATCTGGCCCATTAGTCCCCCATAGATCCGCCGCTGGTCAAGGGTGTCATGATTTGTTATTTTTCAATTAGGTGTGCCACTCAATGAAAAAGGTTGAAAAACACTGATATAGTTATTTTGGGACATTAAAAAGTGTCTTCTGCAAAACTACGTTTTATTTGAGAAAATCGAGATTTTAGGTGAAGACAATTGATCACTTTTGAACCTGAGGAATCGGTAGACATTGAAAACCAAATAATTTCCATGTATATGTATTATATCTAAAAACTAGTAGATTTTGAGAAAATCAGTTTTACATGGTTTCGAGAAATTATAGGCCTGCAGCAAAAATCAGTCAAGTGCACATGGAGGATTTTAGCAGATTTTTATGATAACTTAACCTCTTTTATTTTACGGTATGAGTTTATTTATTTTTCAAACAATTTTTGCGCTTATTACTATAATAGCAATCAAATCCAAATTATTAGTAATAATAAGCAAATACCAGCCGGATTAATTGGGCAGTAAATATGTAATGATCCAAACATAAGCATTAGAAGAGTACAAACGGGGCATTTGTCCTCTGGGATCGAATAAAAAATTCTACAAATTATAATCGTAAAATTGTTTGAGATATGTATGTATCTTATACCGTTGACCTTGGACACTTTCATTTTTGTATACATTAACAATAGACAAGAATGGGCACTAATGGAAGTGAC